AGATGGTTTTCAAGGTGTTTTTGTTGGAGAACCGTTTAAACATGGCAAAGAGTAAAAACCAATCATAAAAAGTTGAAAACCACTTGGTTGGTTCGGACGCCAAAAACCATAGCCGATAACCGAGAGCCGAACGCCGGTTTCTGAAACCCGAACGCCGGATGGCTTGGTTTTTGGTTTGGGCGAACACCAAGTGTTTTTAATGACTTAAAAATGTTTGAAAAACATTTTTTATGATTTAAGAAGTGCAATGAAGGTTTTTAGCCTAAAGAGCCAAGATGTAAAGATTGGGTCGGTCTTGATCACAATGAAGACCGACTCAACGACACTAAGACTAAGGTCTTCGTTCTTGGTCTTCTTTTAGCTCTTGTTCTTGTCTTCCTTCTTCGCCTTGTATATTCAAAGTTTGACTTGATCACGGCGGTTTGGCATTATCAAAACCTGTCATAAAAACAAACACGGCTTTAGTGCGAAAACGTGACATGCCCGTGTTTCAACACGTGGTTCAAATAATGAACACTCCATTACTAATGCTAGGTCAAGATAAAGTATTCTTTTCTCAGTCCACAAAATCTCTTCAATAAGTGGATCTAGTGGTCATCGTACATTGGCCCTTGCTGATCATAATCATCTTGATCACCATGAGGTTCATAATAATCCCCACAGTTGTCTTGGTATGGAGAATATCCAAAGCTCCGAGGCGGGGTATTGTATGGTGCTTCCTCATGGTATGGATAATAATCAGGTCCATTATTGACGGAGTAGTCATGACAATATGAATCCTGATGTGGATAATATGGTGGTGGTGATGGTGGATAGTAATTGGACTCTTGGGAAAATGATGGTGGATGGTTGGGTGGTTGGTAGAAAGGAGGCGGATCGTAGTAATCATCTCGAAAATTCATTTTTAATGATTACTACGGGTGGCTTTTGAAAAAGAGGTGAGAAGATCGACCTAACCTATCTTCACCCAAGCTAATTCAAAAAAAATTAAACTAAAACCGTGCCACTCCCCGGCAACGGCGCCATTTGATGATTGAGTTTTTCGGTAAGTCAACTTTCCCAATGAAGGGTTAGTTTTCTCCGAGTGTCGTGTCTCTCGAGGAGTGGACGAAGGGAATTAGCTAATTTTTCTAACTAGACGAAGGTTAGGACGGATTTGAAAGTCTTCTCGATTTGATTTGAAAATAATAATAAAATAAACTACTGGATGTTTTTGAGAAAAAAGAAAATAAATAGTACGAGTATAGGACTAGACTTCGGGCCAAGGCATCATTTGAGTTAACTACTGTTGTCACATATTTAATCAATAATTGGAATAATAATATTTCTGTCACAAATATTTCATTAACTTATCCTCTCTCAAGGTAACATTAATGTGTTCTAAAAAGTTTGGCTTAATTAATTTTATATCCTCATGGACAAGGCAAAAACTAATTTCCAATTATTAATTAATTTTTCTCTCGACATAACTAATTAATTTAACAATAAAAATATTTCTAGAACAATTATTCCAACTATTAAATAAACATACAGAGTATATGCCCAAATTTAGCCAAGACCCTAACCTGGGTCCTAACCCATACTAAATATTAACAGTGCATAAAAGAAAGCATTTTATTAAAATTGCAAGTATTAAAACTTACAACAGAGGGCAGAGTCGGAGCCACTTTGGGACAATCGGAACAAAAGTAAACTAAAATATTAAAATATAACTGAGAAAAGAGCAGAGAATGGAGTTCCAGGCCTTAAAGACCCGGAAGAAGGCTTGATGAGAATGAAGGGGCGAAGCCCTCCTTTTATAGGAGAAATTTTCGGTCCAAGCCTCTGATAGGCGTGGGCCTGAGGTACAGGCGCGCGCCTGGATTGAAGTGTACATGGCGGCTGATGTGCGAATCAAATGGATGCTGCCTTTACGCCATTTTTTCTTTCTTGTTTTTTTTATTACTTTGATTGATACAATGGATATGCGGACCACATTATTCACAAAAGGATTGATTACAAATGTAATCTTGGTCAACAAATCAAGTTTTGCCACGTGTCGCCTCTTTGTTGTCAAAATTTTAACCACTTTGAAATTTATTTTTGAAAATGTCATGTTGCTCAAAATTTTATTCTGAACAACTTTTCCTTCTGCGCTAACTTCAAATTCCGAACAAATCTCTTTGCTCCGTTGCATTCCATTTGCACAATCTTTTACCTTTTTGTACCACTTTTGACTCAATTTTTATTCTATTTAAAACAAGACATAACTTTTGTGCACATTTACAATTATGAATAAAAACTTATAAAAACCATTGAGAAATTGATTTGTTTAATCCAAAATTAGACAATAACACATTAAATATAGAGAAGATAAGTGCGTATATTATCATTGATACTCCGTAATATGCAGTATTTTTGAGATTATAAATTATACTCTGGTATAAAAACATTGATATTCAAATTTTTGTATATGAAAATATGTTTTAACTTAATTAGACATTTCTCCCAAAAGATATCCCCACTTTTTTTCTTTTTTTTTTTTTGGAAAAAAGTATGTTGTCCACCATACTTCTTACTTTTTCAAAATAAATTCTAACCACCTAGTTTTAATTATTCAATATCTTTTCAGCATTTTTTTAATAATCATGAAATCTAAATGAAAGAAAAAAAAATCTTTTAGGGACATATATAGCATCTTTATTTGGAAAGCATAAAGAATTCAAGCTTGCACGCAATAAAACATTATTGCCTTTGTAGACTACAAAAGATGTTTTTGCCCTTGAACAACGTTTCAATTAGCTTTGTGTTTAAATAAAATTTTAACTGTGTAAATTAACTTTGAAAACACTAAAGCTAAACGCTATTATTAGATAATATTTTCAAAACGCTAACGATAAAAGTTGGAGTTGTTCCAAAAACACCCTTTATCTACAAAACTTGTGTGAAACATAAAGAGAGACTTTTTTTTTATTATTATCTACGTGATTTAAGTGTACAAACTTAAGCTATGTAATAGACCAAGAAAATGGAAATCTCTTTTCTTAATACAACAAATTAAATCATAGAAAGCCCAAAACTTGTCATCATCCATGAAGAACTGCAAACTCTTTTGTTTGATCTCACAAGAGAAAGATGGAGAAGAAAGGAAGAGCGCAGTAGCATACCACCATCGAATCCCACTTTGTTTCCCGGATCAAAGCAGGTTCAGTTTCCCTGTTATGGAATCCACAGCCGATTTACTTCCTGCGCGCGTTAGCCTTCAGATTTTAGTTAAAATTACTACAGACTCCGAACTCCGGTTACAGGGTTCTAGATTCCAGTTCAAATTAAGACGAAAAGAACAGGTCATTAGTTGGGGAAGTGCATACCGGGCCCCACAGCAAGAACGGTTTTTGAACCAGAAGCGACCTGTGCAAAACAAAAACAACTTTGATATCATTTGATGACACACAGACAGGCAGACAAACAAGAACGGTTACCTGAGTACGCCCGGCATCAGCAACAACAAAGGTGGGGAGACCTATGCTCTCAGCTGCTTCCTTCACCTTGTTCCTACACAAACGGTTAAGTTCTTGTCGATCAGGGAGGGAGAAAAAAGGGAGTGGTCAAAGGAATGGCGTTGTTTTAAAAGGTGCTTACATTTCTTGCTGATTCTTGCAGGCCACGACTATTTTGGGCTGCCCACAGACCTCCCATTGTCTCAACAGAGACCTATCACTGCAAAACCAATGTTCATCCCAATTTATTGATTGTGCTATTGAAGCGTGATGGTTAGAAACCGGCAATAAAAATGACTACCTTCGTCCCAGAATAAATGTCCAAGGTTGACTTTCACGGAGTTTAAGAAAGATGATACTTTATGGTGGAGATTTATGTAGATAGACAGAGAAATAATGTGAAAAAAAAATGATTCTCAACCACCTTAGCTTAGCTTTTTGAAAAAAATGATTGTTGAGTACCTGGACATTAGCTCTGAGTACATACCGGTTGCAGCATCTGCATATTTAATATGAAAACGATCTAGAATTAAAGAAAAAAAACGAGAAAGAGTTCATTTAAAAGATCATTGAGATGACGTGCGGAAGTTGCAATCTAAAACTATAAATGCCGATGATAACTTACGTGCACATTGGGATGCAATTTTCCCTTGTCCCATCTTCAAGTCTCGCCTTACCACCAAAACCTGTTAAAGAAGTTCTCAGATTAGGAAACATATAGAGCCTAGGTTATCAGACTCGACATCGTTCTGAAAGATTAATTGATTCCTCACTCCAAGGAGTCCATAAAAATGTTTTCTTTAAGTGGTCTTGATCATTATACAACTTAATCTCAAAAAATCATTATACAAAGGTACTTAATTTCAAGGTGCAGTATTCTTCGACGAATATTCAGCTACAATAAGTTCCACAGTTCCAAAACATATATTTCTTTCTTGGAAGGTCATAACGAAAATCATCTGTGAGAAAAAAATACTACATAGAAAGAAAGCACGCATGATATTTTGCAAAAAAACGCATTAAAAATATTAAACCAATTTCCCAAGAGTTATATGGTTTTTGGTGTGGGGTGGCTTCTTGGAAAAGAGGAAGTTATAAGTCTTAATCAGAAAATACTTCCTCCTAAATTTGCTGAAAAGCACTTCTAAAGCTTGATTTCCACTTCTAAAGCAATAATCCATAAGCTAAAGCAATTTGTCAAATACTCGAAACTGTATTTTGGTGAAGTGGAAGCTGAATGATATTCTCTAACACAATCCCAAACACCCTCTTACTTAGACAAAATTCTATCTAAAAAAACTGAAAAGAGCATGAATTTAATCAATGAATGAACATAAAGCCAACTTAAATTCAACAATTGCATAACAAAACGAAAATAAACACCCAGAAAAACCAGACCAAGAAATCCCAGAGGAAAAATCACATAAACGGATAAACCCTTAAAAAAAAAAGATACCATTTTGAGCTCATGGTCAGAGTTAGCTGCAGCTGGGATCATCGTCTTCTCCTTTTGGTTTCTGGACAACAATCGACTCTTCCGAGTGAGAGAGCTATTGCCGAGATTTGTGTTTCTGCTGGGACCGGAGGCCTTCGACCAGTCCAACAAAAGTCCGAGAATGAACCCGATTACAACTCCGGGTATGAAATTTTCGGGCCTGAAACTCACCCCTAGCCATTCTTTCTGCTCTTTCGACTGCAATTTTTCAAGAAGATGAAACTCTGAAAATCAAGAAACGATCCCAATAAAGATGGAAGAACAAAAGGGTTGAGATTGAAATCGATGTAATTGGTTTTCTTTAATAAAAAAAAGTTGCCTTTTTTGGAGGTTGAGAGTGACGCTGCATTGGTTTTCTGGTTGAGGAAGAAGATGATGACGACCCCGCTGCCGCGCTGCGTCTTCCGGATTACTTCTGGCAGGGGAAGGGGTTAAGGTTTCAGCAGTCCAGTTACAATGACGGCGCCTTGATAGATACGGCGTCGTTTTTGTTATTTTTTACGGAGTACTTTAGAGAGTAATTTACCTACATATCTAACCCAATAAAAATCGATTCCTGGCAGTGTAAGTCAGGGATTTTTTTCCTTACAGTGCAAGACGGATTTGGCTACTCCGTTTCCACCCGATTTTTTATTCCAAACGGATTAGCCAAATCCGTTTCATCTAATTTAAAAAAAAATACTAAACGGAGTAGCCAAATCCGTTTCTCTTTAAATTCAATCCAGACGGAGGCTACTCGGTCTCCCTACGGATAACCCTCACCCCTTCCCCTTCCGTCCACCCATTCCAGCAACCCTGCATCACAAAATTCCAGCGCCGATCCGCCGCCAAGAGAGAACGCCGGGAGAACGCCGGCCGACCAGAGAGGGGAACGCCGGGAGAACGCCGGCCGACCAGAGACGGATTAGGCTACTCCGTTTCATGGAGGTATTTTTATTTTTTACTTAATATATATAAATATTTATCATTTTATAATAATATTTAGATTTATTATATATATTGGGGTGAATTGCCTTATTCTAATTGATTGATTGATATATGTTATTAGTTTGTAAGATTTTGAATTTGATTCTTTAAATATTCATAAAAATTTGGTAATTTTTAAATTTTGATATTGTAAGATAATTTTTAAATTTTGATATTCAACAATTGTTATGTTGTAATGTTTGAAACAAATGAGTTGTTATTAAATAAATAAATTGTTATGTT